AAAAAATTTCTTTTAAATTGCACATCTTTTTTACACACTTATTTATGTACGATTCTTTGGTTTTTTTCTAGACGTGAAAAACATGTTTTGGCCATTTCTGCCATTTTTTGGGGCGCTATTTCTGACATTTTTACTTGTTAAATTCTGATTTAATTTGTTATAATATATTGAAACTACTACCCTACTTTTTTTCGAGATAGTCAGAATTTTGGGGATATCGTTATAGTTTTCAGCTAATTCTACGATACTATCTCTTAAGCTCGAGAGAACACAAAAAAGTATGGTTTCTTATTAATTTCATTCTTTTTTCAGAATTTTTCATCAATTTAAAAGTGATCACGAGTCTAAAACATATATCAGGTGTAAACACTTTTTTTTGACAAGTTGGCACTAAGTGCCAGAATGAAAATCGGACCGTTACTTAACATTATTTCTATATCTATATACTTTTTTTTTTTATATATATTAGAGTGCTCTACGTCCGGCTCCTTTATTAAGGGCACTACTATGGGCACTTAGCACTTGGGAGAAGGAAGGGATGAGGGGATGGGAGGCCTCCCATTACTGGGAGGGGGGTAGGGGGAATTAGGCAATTTATGCTGCGAGGAGGTCGCCTAAACCCTCCTCGAGGAGCATTGCGTGGTGAAAAAGCACATGTGAGAATCATAGAGGTACTTGTCCGAAAAAGTCGCACTATGGCCGGGAATCGAACCACGGTCTCCCGCGTGCCAATCCACGACCTAGCCGACCGAGCCACCACGCGCTCTATATCTATATACACTACACTATTGCTAGTGAATAAGGAGCCAATTGTGCTCGCATTTTTTCTAAGACGACTAAAGGAATCTTCCAGTAGTTGATGAGGTAATAATTTTTGATTCAATTACAAATGATACCCATTTAATGTACCATAAGCACGAGGACTCAAAAGTGCTGTGTAAGTAAATGTACTAAATTGTTTTGTCTTCATTTTCATTTTTATTGTCTTGGAATATTAGTAATTCTTTTAATTATAGATCTGCAAGAGAAAGTTATGGAGACAACTTGCTGTAAGTTACAGATGTCGTAAGAAAGAATCTTACTTACGTACCCTAAAATCTGAAATTTGTCGAGAATACAAAGTTCGTGGTAAGAACTATTCTGTATATAAATTTAGATGTATATCTTCCAATATTATATTGTTAAATGTGTGGGAAGTTATACATCATCTCCACTACCCCTCGACAGCCCCCCAAATGGCCTCCATCGTTCCTTTACAGTCCCCACCACCTCCCCACAAATTAAGGAAAAATTCGTCTTATTTCTACGTTATTTTAATCTAATAAAAACCGAATCAAACCCCCTCACTCCTCCCCGTTCCTTGAAGGCCCCCATTTTCCCTCCACACGATTTTCCTATCACACAATGCCCCCCACTGTCCCCAATACGATTTTTTTATACACCAATGCACTTTTATTGTCTTTAAAGAAACTTTTTTATAAGTTGACTATATAATACGACCTTAAGTTCTCATTCTTTATTCAAGAAACTTTTGTATATACTTTTTGAAAAAGAAAACAGCTTTTTCAAATGTTTTTCACTTTGTTAGGAAAATTTTACTTAGAATTCAAAATTTGTTTATCTCTTTCGCAAGTGATATAATAATTGGTCTTTAATGTCTATTAATATCGTATTAATGTTCAAAATTTTTATTAGTAAGGGTGAGTTTAGATGGAGTCTGGGAGTCTGCCAGACTGGCATTGAAGCCCATAAGAGTGAGAGACAGGTTCGTCACGTGACCACATCTAACCTCTTTCTCACTCTTATGGGCTTCAATGCCAGTCTGGCAGACTCCCAGACTCCATCTAAACGCAGCCTAAGTCTACAGTTTTTGGTGTGTTAATTCATTTTTTGTTACTAACATCAAAGAACTATGTGCCTCAATTTCTTATATTTATAAAATAGTAGAAATTGGTTAAATTTTACCCTATAAATTTGACTTACTTTTGCAAACCATATTATAAAGCCCTGTAAAATCTTGGAAAAATATTCTTTGAATACCCTTTATTTAGTTATAAAATAATATGAAAGAGCAATACGGTTTTTAAATGTTATTTTTTTTTAACATCCACTGTACTGATCTATATCTCATCTTCAAAGTCATAAGAAAATTATTTAAATATCTATACAACAGTAAATTTAATTCATTTAATAAAAACGTAAGTTCAAAAGTATTGTTTATTAAAAAACCTCTTTCCAAACAATACTTTCTTTAACTGAATTGGTCTCTCTTTCTGTTTGAATAAATTTCCCATCTTTATTCTTACATCTCAGTAATACTACATAAAGCTGACTAAGTAGACAAAGATTTCGTTGAGTGTAAACTAACATTAGTAAAACGTTGATCTTGACATTGATTGATGGGAATACCAAAAACTCAGACTAAAGTGGAAATTGTGTTCTGTATAAAATAAATGGCACTGAAAAAGTAATAGAGTAAAGTAGTGCTTTAAATTAAAAGAAAATTTTTTCTTACCTTAAATGCTATGTAAAGAATTATTATTCATTAATATAAAGTTAGAGCACGAAGCGTGCAGGAGGCGTAGCCTACTTGTTTATATATACATGGAAATAAGATGAAGCAGCTGTACGATATTTATTTTCGCACTTAGTGTGAGCTTGTCAAAAAAAGTGATCCACACGTGACACATCTTTTAGAGTTTTAATGACGTTTATGTATTCGTGATGTCATGAAGATCTTGACCAATACTAAGCGTTTTTGGGTCGAAAGGATACAGTTTCAATTTTTGCATCTTCAATAAATATTTTTGTAGTGAAAATGACATCAAAAAATTTTAAAGAAAAAAATTATTATAAAAAACAGGGGTCTTGATTCAGAAATAAGTATTTTAAAATTCATAAGAAATACTAATTAGCATGGTAGAGTGGTGTTGGAACTCCAAGACTGAGGTAGCAACAGTGCAAAACGCTTGAAAGCCAGTCCTTCATTTTACTGGATTATTGGGACAGCCTTAAACTTGAGTAGTGGTCCCATAATTAGGGATAATGTAAGTCTTGAGTGACCCAGGACAAAGCTAAAGAGAATAATGTTACTCCAGAAGAATATACCAGGGGTACCAATTTCTAATTAAAAGTCTTCATTTTTCTATCCACGTTACATAGCTTAATTCATGGTATTGGAGGTAAAGTAGATGCACCAGTCGTTTGATGCATTAACTTAGTGCTCTATTCATCATAACTAGTCACAAAATTATGACAAATCATGAAAAAGCGCTTGGAGACTAAGCCCGATTTTTCTTGTACTTGTACTTGTACAGGAGCTTGAGGAATCTACCGTGCTCCTGAATTAGCAGTTTTCAACAGTTGTAATATTACTCCTAAATTGACTAAGTTATTTCATAACTTGAATTCTATTTTTGGCGTTAGCCAATACAAACGTTCTTAAGCAGCATAACTTATCTAAATTCAAAAAGGCTATTTAGAATACTCTAGAGTTTTGTTACGTTGTTGTTTTCTTAGATACAGGAGGTGGAAAAGGGGTGGCCAAAGTCGGGCATGCTAATTGTATAGGCGAATTTGTGATGATCAAAAGTTTTCCTACTACAGCGTACTCATTTTAAATAAAGTAGTCTTATCCCATGCCGCACTCTTGTTAGTTAGTTTCCTATGATTGACTACAAAGTGGGCCCAGTAGTTATTGATAAGCTCAAAGTGATAAGCAATGAGACATGAAAATCAGCTTCTCTGTGCTCGCAGCATCGTAACTTGTTCTCTGTAATCAGTGTGATGCATGATATAATAAAAAGCTGAGCAGATAGTATCATTTTTGATCATTCTATTTATTCATGGCGTAGCCTTTAAAAGAGATCTGTAATAAGAAACAAACTAGTAAAGTATTGTGGCTTTCTCTCAGTTCATGTTATAGTCCTTGCATATTGCGATTATTATGAAAAACTGACAGTATAAATCTTTCTTGCTTAAACGTCATCGTTTTGTACATTGTTATCGTGCTTTTTTCTATTGAGTGGTCATTTAACTATAAGTAAATATTAAAGTAACAATAGAAACACTAAAAAAATTATTTTTGTTACTGACACACTCAAATCATTTGCTGTCAAATACTGTTTGCTGATCAGGATTATTTTTTTGATAATTGTTCAGTGAGCTCAAAGAGAAAAAAGGGTTAACTGGACTTAAACTTAAAACTGAGTGGAACCACTTTTAGCACATGCATACTATGTGCCAAAAAATGATGCATCTCATTCAACAATTTTTTGTCATAATTGAATTTTAATTTAAAAAAAAAATAATTATTATACATTCAATACATTTGTAAAAAAATGAGTGCTGAGTACAATAAAGTATCTAATTGGTGTTTAGCATGTCAGCTGGTATTACTTTAATGCAATGTGGATATGAGAAAGAAATGTAAGAAAAATCACGTTAAACAGGCTCAGCACCATTACTGCTCTGCTTGTGAGTGAAAACTAGAGGGCTAAGCTTATCTGATTCAAAAGATTCTCTGGGAGCCTAGAGCTGCTAGAAACAATTGCATAAGATCAGCGTGCTGAGAAGAACTGATATCCATATACATATTACAGCAATACTTGCACAGGCCTCAAATTTTTCGGAAAATAGTAAATACATCTCGTATGAAGTGTTATACTAATAAAAAATTTATTAACTAAGTAAACTAAGATGATACCCATCTAGTAATAACTATTTCTTAATGAAAGAGAAAAAAGACTCATAGCTATGATTATAATCCTAAGCAGTACCCAAGATTTTACGTACGAATGCAATCAAGACAGAAAAGCAGGAAAAATAAATATCTAATATGTAAAATTTATGATTGTAGAACACTAATGCTTTCAAGGAACATCATTCTTTGTTGTCTTATCTTAGAAAATTAATACAAAGCTTTTTTCTTATAAGAAGAATCAGAGATATCGAATGAAAATTTTCAGCTGGACTGCTACTGCCCTCTTTTTATCAGATCTCTATCTCCACCACTCCACTCCCTCGTTAGCTTCAGATTCGTTGCCTGCAATTTTAAAAAATAATGATAATAGGCTAGAGATTCAAGACAATTCTTATTACTTTTTGAAAGATTATCTGAAGTATAAAAAAATAAGTTTCTTTGTCGCTCTACCCATAGCTATTACTCTACTTACTCATGATACACGTACTTGGTAGTTTGCTAAAAATAGAGAAATTTTTAGTAAACTAGATGTTCTAATGTATATTTTTGTCAGTCATTTGTTACTTTTTTTTAATCAAATTAAAGACATTTTGGTACCAGGATGGTAGACAATAAACGTTCCTTTATTGTAACATAAAACGCCACTCGATGGGGTAATCGTGTTGGCAGAAACATAAATTAAGTAACTTAAGGATATTACAGATTACATCTACGATTATAGGATAGGTCAATTATAAGTTGGTAAAAAAAAAGTTAATAATGTGCATTGAGAGACTGACGTACTCAACAGATGATCACAATGTTTCACCCTTAAGTTTGTGCTCAGCCTAGTAAACATTTACTTAGATCACAAAACCAATATTAAATTTCCTAAGAAAAAGAGATGTAAGAATCTTTAGCTACAAATAAGCTGTTGAATTTTTTACTACTTATATAATTTTTTCAAATTCAAAGAAAATTCTCATAGTCTTGTTCTATTGCCACGTACTTTGGGCTTTGTTTTTAAAGTATATATCGCTCGGTCAAGAACATTAATTCTGGCTGATTAGGGCTGATATGAAGATTTTTTGGCTAATAGGCAACCAATGAATGTAATAATTTAAAAGAGTAAGACTTTAAGAGTTGGAAACTAAGATCAATAATAAGAAACACGTTATTTCTACTGTGTCCAAGGTCCATAAAATATTATCTTGCTGAAGTACATATTAAACGTTTTTATTTTAACTATTTTAGTGTAACAGACAAGGTTAAGTCGTAACGTATTTTTAAGGATAACTAATTATTTCTTAAGTTAAAACACTTTATCAAGCATTAAGAGATTATTTTAGTTCTTCCTATAATAAAGATATTCTTCTTTATATAGACAGTGCAATGGCTTCATATTATAACAATGAAATAAAAGGTATTTGTCATAAAAATCTTTATAATCTAATAAAAAGTAATATTTTAGCTAAAGTAATATTTGGTTTACTGAGAGGAGCTTGTATTTATCACTGAGTACCCAGATTTAAAGAAATAGTTTACAGACAAGAATCCTAGAATTCATAATTCAGATATTGAGTAAGAACTTGTTAATTTCACTTTCGGAATCATCTGTGAAGGTTTAGCTGTACTTTTCGTTGATCTGTTTGCTTTGAGAGTTAGTGATAGTATATCAAGTATTAATAGTAAATGAAGAATGCTGCATATCCTTTCGATATTTGCATTAGATATTCATCGTCTTCTTCTTGCTCAGAAGATAATTTTACTTGTATTAATTGATTTTATAGTATCATAACCTGAAAAATGTAGATAAACCATCAAATAAAAAAACGAAAAAAGTCAGGGCAAATAACATTTTTTACTTGTAAATAGTTTTTTCATTAGTGTCTTTAGCTTGCAATGAATCTAATTTTCAGCTGTGACTACATAAAAATGGTTTAAATTAAAATTTTAGAACTTCAAAATGATGAACATTAATAGCTTCCTACTGACAAATATGTTACATGCCTACGCGTAATAACAAATTAAGATTTTCTTTATTCTTACAATATGAATATGATACTGCATATACAGTGTGCACTCAGTTTAAAAAAATATGTTAATTTTTCAGTACGTAAGGGCAAAACGTATGTAATGAGGCTCACTTTTATGATTTCTTACTATCGATTTTCTGTGATAAGCATTTAAAATAATCCTCACGTTTGATCTACTAAAAGTTCAAGTATGAACTGTAGAAGTATAATATTATAAGCAATTACTTTGAATATGACTTTTAGGTGGATATTCAGCTCAGAGTAAGGTAAGGATAAACTCTTGAAAAGCAATTAGAAGTAGTTCAAATTTAATTCAATCAAAATATTCTTTTAGTTAAAAATTGCAATTATGTCCAGAGTTCTAGATGAGTTAAACGTCATTTGAAATTTTAAGCCCGTAAGGACTTTACAGTTAATTTTTTATGGTTTTTTTTGAGTACATATTTTTTTGATTCATATAATTTTGGATATAATAAATAGGTATTTTCTTACCATGGGTCCAAAGTGCAACGGCCGCTTTGCGACCTCGGGTCACACTTTGAGCCTTTGTAGTCACTTTGGGCCCACGGGCAGAAAGTAATTTACTGGGCGCAAATTGTGCCCATGGGCACAAGATTACACTTTGCACCTTTGGTAAGAAAAACATACGCGACTCAGGCACCAACCGACAACAACCGCGTCCTTCGGGTGCTTATGTTTGTACTTTGTGCCCTAGTGACGTAATGTACCATAAGTTTTAATGTCTTACAAGCACTAATGGTAATCTTCATACAAGTAGCTTATTGATATTGTAAACGAAACTAGAACTAAAGAACTAAGTGTGCATTATCATTGAAATTTTCATTTTTGAGGGTGAAATTATCTTCTATCTAGTTTTTTTGTGTCAACATAAAAGAAGTTCTAAAACAAAAATTATTTATGCTTACTACCAAGATAAAATATTTCAATCTATGAAAAAGTGCTTTCAAAAAAATAACATATAACACCTAACACCTAAAATATTTGATGCTTAAGTATCAAGATTCAATGAACATTAGGCAAATTTTTTCCTGCCGTATACCCATAAAAGTCAGAAAAAGTAAAATTATCCCTAATGTTTGAATTAAAAAAAAAATAAGTATCAGATAATTGGTACTCAAAGGTATCAAAAAAATAATGTAAATAGCACAAAGGAAAACATTGTTTTTTCAGCTTTAAAGTTATGTACACTTTTTTCATGCTAACTTTTTGCACACTGATTGAATGTAAAGAATACTCAGTTCTAAAAATATATTGTTTAAAGAAACTTGGTACTCACCACTGCTTGTTGTCATCATGACGTTTGCTATCACTACCTTTCAATTGACGAGCTGTATTCTGTTGATGTTTTGAAATTCTGAGAGCAGTGATTATAAATAAACAAATGTTGCACAAAACCGTTATTCCCATTGGTCCATAGAAATAAATGGCTCTTGCAATGTTAGCTAAAACATTGAACATTTATTTGAAATGAAAATTTAAAAAAATCTCTGAGATTTTTTTATTGTTATCAAAAAACTTAAGTCACTTCTAATGTTCTTGGAGTGCACATTAAGGACCTCGTAAGAATTTTAGGATTTTTCAAAGTATTTCTAAAAGTAAATTAAAACTTCTTAATTTTTTATTCTTATTCCAAAATTGTTATTGAATTACTACCAAAAATAGTTAATAAATTATGCAGACAATGGTTATTTTAGATAATTCTTTTCGTGGAAGATATTTAACCTGTAAGTCTATTTAGTTCTTAGAAAAACATTTGTCATTGTTCTAAATAACTTATAATAGCATAAACTAGTCATGTTTTAAATTTTTAGAAACATGTGTCACATTATTTTCATAAAAGTCTTTTTTAGTGATAACAATGATCAAGAAATACTAAGCTTAAATAGAATAAAGAATTCTCGCCAAACATAAAGAAAAAAAAATATTTATTTAAAACAATTCATAACTATCTCAATTAAAAATAAAAAGTCTACATGCACATTCAAAAACCTCTAGAAAAATATCACACATAAACAATAGAAAATCTTTAAAAAATGATAAATATCAATTCTTTTTCTCTTGTTCCAATTTATATGAGATACAACAAATTCATAAAAACTCACTATTGAACCAGCAGCTGGCTACTCCAAACTCTGGACGTATAATATCTTCTGGGATGCCTGGTACAAGGTCCATAATCATACAGATCCCAGTTAGCATGCTGGCACAGCCCCACGCGTAGATCGAATACATAATGAATTTTTTGTGCTCCCGCTGCTTAACACTGCCGTGGAGTGAGCGAAGGCCTCTAAAATTAGCAAGGATTAAGAGATTTTTTAATTAGCTTTATTTTAAAAAGGTTGTTTAAATTATGTAAATACAGTATATAATCCCCCACATGTGTTGATAAATAGATCAATGAATATAAGGGTAAGTAAGACAGACCTCAGGGCATTTAGGGTCTTAGATTTAAAATGAGAACGAAACATAAAGACGGAACTGAAGTCTAAAAATGTAGGCCATACACTAAAAAAATTAGGACGTACTTATCACAAACTATAAAGAAAATGGTCATGGCTACAAAAGGTTTGAGTCGTCAATAAGGGTATAAAAATTGAAAACATAGACAGTCTGAGAAAAATTTGCTTAAAAAGAAAAGTATATTCAAACTTTGGAAAAGAAATAAAAAAAAATATCAATATTAAAAGAATCAGTGTTAAAAACTTTAAAAAAAAAAGAAAAAGAAAAAAACTAATCATCTTAAAAGGTTTAGATTCAGAAGCCGTGAAAATTTGAGCAAAGAGTTAAATCTATTGCACCACAATGCTTTATAATCATAGGATGATTAGAATAAGATGGATAGAAACGGTTGATATCTCACATGATTTATAATTAGTTTGATAAATTGAATATACAACAATCATACCACTAAAACAACATTTTTAAACTGACATGGAGAATTCAAAATCAAATAACGTATTTCATTTTCATGTCATAGTTTCTCATTTATACAGTTATCTTGGGATTAAATAAACTGAAGTTCCTCTCCTATTAATAAATGAAGTTGTAGCTCAACATATATTTTTAATTTTTCTCATATTTCTAATGTTTTAGATAATAACTGCTGGTAGTGTAACTCCCAGCCGGCATCCACATTTCTTAAAGAGTTCTTTATGAATTCAGTGACGAACTTGTTTTGGTATTGTATTTATTTGGTGACAAATAGATTTAACTTATTTTTATATTCTTATACCGTATTTTCTTATTTTTATAACAAATAAATATACTGTTGTTGAGGGCAATACTGTTCAATTTACTATTTTCTTGTAACACTAGTGTATTTATTTACAATTTTTATCGCAGTTCGTGAAATGTTTATTTACTTCACCTTTTACAAGGAGTTTGAATGTTAATTATTAATAAATTTGTACTGTAAAATATTTATAAATTCACAGTTTTTTTGACACTTGACATACAGCCACTGAAATGCGTTTTACTGGTTTTTCTTTATTTAAAAAATATCATTGTACCAATACATAAAGATTAGCAAATTTTGTAGCTTACGTTGATTTAGAACGATTTTTTGTTAATTATTACAATGTGCATTATGAAAATATCTTTAAAATCTTGTATCACCTTGATAAGCCTACAAGATTTCCTTTTTTGTTAACAAAACGGTACGATTTTTTTAAAAAGTCCTTACGTCTCAGAAACTTGCCACATAATTTTAATAACTTATTGATCAACATGCTGTTTTAAAATTATTTTTTTTTGCACTCTTAAATTAAAACGTAGTTAAACATTGCATTGTGAATTTAAAGACGATTTCAAGATTTTTTTTCCCGTTTATTAAATTTTGTGACTATTAAGAATCTCAAAATTTAATTATTTGCAGTAAATGGCTGCTAATGATTGAACTGTCTTGAGATCAACATCGAATAGATAGATCCTATACTGTAACTAAATAGTTCTTATCAATTATGGCTTTAAAAAAAAAGAGTAAAACTTCCACTGAGATTCAGAGAATCTTGATCTATTATTCTTTATTGCTATTTAAAATATTATTTCGTTATCTTTAAAGCTGTTGAATCATTCTGTCGACACTAATTTGAAATGTGTTTTAAAATGATCATTTAACAATTAAAATTAAAATTGTACATGAAACTAATACAATTAGTTCTTTCCTTATTTTAAGTATTTTGAACCATTTTAATGTATAACTAAAAACTGTGTTTCAATATCAGACGATGACAAGAGTGCGGACAAATAAATTTTTTTTTCAGAACAGCTCCATCATAACATGAAAGAAAAAAAAGTTGTAAAGAAATAAAATTTATGCCAGATCTAGTAGGTAATTTGGAAGGGTTCTGGCTCACCTTTTTCCTTCCTCCTAGGGTGACCGCTGGGAGTAGCTGTAGTGAGAGAGTACAGGGCTTCCTACTCTAAGCGGGGGGCTGTCGCCACGTATGTGTACGTGCTCGGGGATCATCCGTGCTATTGCACGAGCTTATCCACGTTTCTCTTTTCTAGTGTTGGATTGTTCTCTAGATTACCTTGAGAATTGGCCCCTTTGACCTCTCATCTACATGCATACACAAAATATGTACACATGTGTACGTGCACGTATGTGTTTACGCACGTGCTTTTATTTTCCAAGTAATCGTACATGTAGACACCAGTGAAATAAAACGAGTAAACAGCAAACGTATGTATAAGTGATCTCGCACGTCATAATGACGTCCTGGGTCAGCTGTGCTATTGCACAAGCCAATTTGCACTAGTGTCGGATGTTAGACTAGCTTTCCCCATTAGTGCATGAGTTATTTTTTCCTACTGTAGTAGCTAGAACCAGCTTTCTAGCAGCCAGGTTTATCCTGGATCACCAGAGCAGAGCATGATCAAGCTACGTATTGTGCCTACGCACGCGTCCCTTGCGGTGGCTCATCGTGCTTAGACATAAGCATTTTGCCTGAAGTATCTGAGCAAAGCTGCTGAAAGAGAATATGGATAAGAAATTAACACCAATAAATGTGTTTTGTGATCATTGTATTAATACACATAAAACAATGTTATTTCTCTTATGTGGTAATGAACAAAATTGGTTGACTGTAATCACAAACTTTATTTAGTTTTGTAAGAATCGGTTCTCCCAACTCATTTTTTTGAACCTGCACTGAGTCCAGCAGCTGCTTCTGTGGATAAGATTTCTGCTGATACCACTGCTGTAAAAAAAAAAAAAAAAAATTAGAAATGACAATTATTTTTAAAAAATATGTAGGAGAGCTATAGCTACTATATTATAAAACAGAAGGTTATCTACCTACCACATATGTAGTTACTCCAGCCGATGGCTTTTGATATGACTGCTGCTGATAGCACTAGTGTTAAAGAAAAAATATTTAAAATGTTTTATTAGGTAAGGTTATATTGAGATAGTGTAATAGAAATGACAGTGGAAGTCTGATATATGCTGGTAAAAAAATATTATGTACTACTACTCAACATGTGTATTTGATCATACGTTAAGTTTATTTCTCACTAAGGAAAATTTTATGATAGCAGACGTGTCAAGCATTATATTCTTATAGTACATTTAAATAACTTACCAAATAAAAAGATAAATTTTCTGTCCACTACACTATACCATAAAAATTCACAGCACTGCACAATAATGTATGTATCTTCTTTAAACTATATAATAACGTGCAATGGATTTGCATTACTTTTAGCTGTATAGTAGCTGGTATTTGGTTTTTAGTTATTCCTGTCAGTGATAAGTCCTGGAATATCCCACAATTGAAAAAATTTTTTTACAGTCGAACTTCTATGATAATATTTTTCTTAAAAGAAAACAGTCAGTGAGGTCATGATCTTAACAATGCACCGAAGTTAGAATTTATTATTGGTAAAATTGTATTCTTGACAAAGGGTGTAGGAGCATCTTAGGGAATAACTACTTTCTTGGTTGAGAATGTCTTAACGACTGCAGCCCTTTCTAACAGTTTTTTTTACTATCAAAAACTTTAAGCTAGCGAAGAATTGTATAATCTAACTGTAAATATTAAACAAAAAGATGCATGTATTTTTTAAGCTCTGATTTATAATTAACTTGTCTATAAAACTACAATATCAGGATTTTACTGACATTCAATATGTCTCAATAATGAAAGAGAAAAAGAATTTGGTACAACTTAATTTTAAACTTATCTATGCTGAAACAAATAGTGGGTATATATTTAATACGGAAAAAAACATTTACTTGTTAATTCACATATAAGGTGTTTATGCTGTATTATGCGCTTGCCTATTCAGAGAGAGAAGTCTCTCCTTCCGTCGAGTGAGATTTGACAGATAGAGCGCTAAGAGATAAGACAATGTGTTCTATAAATAAAAGTGACCCGTTAGCGTTGCCTAATTGCAAAGGTATGAGTATAAATAAAAGTGAACCCGTCTTCTATTAGCAACGAAAAAGCAAGTGACATATCTTTTTACATGAGGAAAGGTCTGCTCAAGCATATTGTCTTATATACGCACTCTTATCGATGAGTGATACTTAAATTTTACACTCTTATTAAATTTTCTTTGAGTGTGCATTAGCTTAACAACTATAAAGGCATAAGCTAATGGTCTTGCTGTACAAAATTTAAACTGGTCCAGAGGCAGAACTTTTGACTTCTTCCTATATAGTATACTATGACGTGCATCACAAGAATCTCTCTATACTGAAACTAGTACTAGTTATTGATCTAGTTACAACTTGAACTGGTCTTAAAAGGAATATTTAACGTATTTAGCTTTGTTAAAAAAATGTATACATCTCTACTTGTTATATTCATTAAATTAAATATTTGATTACAGGTGACTAATACGATGACGGTAAACTACATGAAAAACAGACACATATCGCTTACAAGTTTGTAGCGTCTTCAGTAATAGCTCCAACGCTTACTGTCTTCCGAATAATTATGTTAAAGGTGCAACTTAAAAGTTTGACATTAATGATATTGAAGGCTATTTAGAAAAAAGTGATGGTTGAAATGGAAGTGTCAAAGAAAATAATTTACAAGACAAGGTCATTCGAAGAGCAGGTAATACTTTACTCTTTTTCTGGATACGTTTGGAAAAGAAGTACTTGATATAAGAATATTGAACGGCTTAAATATTAGGCTCTTGAAAGCATGAATCATAGTTTTGATGGAAGTATTTTAAGCAATTTATCTAAGAAGGCATAATTGTGTATACGCAAGTATATGCGTTTTTTGGGTGCATGCTCTCTGGCAAGTGTATGCATTCTTTTTTATGCCTACG